CCAGACCCTGCGCCCCCGGCTGGGCGCTTCCCCTCCCGGGCTCCAGCTGCGCTGGGGAAGCACCGGCTGGGGGCGCAGGGTCTGGGGGCTGCCCAGCAAACCATGAAGCCGGTAGCGCTCGGGCAGCCCTTTTCGCGTGGCTGGGAGTGGGAGGGAGGAGGGGGCGGAGTTAGGGCAGGGAAGGGGCGGAGTTGGGGCGGGGCTGGGGGTGGCAAATGGGCGGGGCCAGGGCCCCGTGGAGGGTCCTCTTTTTTTTATTTGTTAAATATGGTAACCCTACAATAACAAAAAGCTCAAAACGCTCAGTATATACCTGCCATTGCACTATAGTCTCCTCAAAAGGTTCCAGTGGCCCTGTAAGTGTAGCCATGATTTTAGTTTCAGTTTGCAGTCAGTGCAAACAAGCCAGTTCTCACTCCCTTCCAGCAGCAAAAAAGGTTTGTTCGTGTACCTTAACTTCTACTTCCTTCTGTTGCTGGGGCAGCACCGAGATCCCATCCTTGTCGCCACATTGTTATATCCTTGGGGGCAACAGTTTTTTAGGAAGAATCACTGGCGACACAGAGAGCTGTAAACCTTGAAGCAGCCATTTACTGCTACACTCAGAACTAACCAACAGCCAGCCAAAACTGGCTGGGCTATCCCCTAATAATCTAACTCAGTTGCCATAGCAACACAAGATTCTATTACCATGACAACCAAATACACAACAGGTGAGGCACAGGTGTAAGTTAAGGCAGTAATGCAATGAGCTTACAAGCCTCAACAACTGTAAGACAGTAGCTTAGCTAAGCTTATCAAGGCACAAGGCCCAAAAAGCCTTAACAGGAGTAGCTAACCGGGAGTAACCCTAGATCATAAGACAGCACAAGGCAGAGTGCGGTAGGGACTAAACTGCTGACAGGTAACCACAAGATGCTACTTTATACCAGCTTGGGGTTTTTAAAGTTAGGAACATCAGCAGATGTCTGACCACAAGAATACCATGGTAACTGATTGACGTATATGCTAATAAGCTTGAGGTAAAAGGATTAATAAGCTATGGGAGAAGGGCACCCCAGCATCAGTAGGGGGAGGAACTACAAATAAGGAAAAGGGGCTGAACCCCCTCCTGAATATGCATTAGGCAGAGTGGCGTCAGTATAACACATGACAACAGCTGTATCCCCGCCTGCATGCCTGGGGAGATGCTTGGATGACAGCCACTGGTGATGGTGAAGGGGAAGATAACTGACCCATCAGGCTGTTCAGCAAGGGCTGGGGTATTCTCTCTAGCTGCCGTGCTGGGTTAGAGTATTCATGACTTTGTGAACTGTATTAATTACATTATAAACAGTGTGTGATTTCCAAAGCGTGTGTGTTACAGTCATGCACATCTGGGCTCCCGCTGAACAGTCATTCTGATAATATGGGGCCTGATCTAGCAGAACCTACCAAATTTCCAAGTGCTAACTGGGGAAACGAAATCCGTAATATAATGACTATACAGGCAACACCTGCCCAGGGCTTTCTTTTCCCTTCTGTGCTATCTCCCACCACAGCATAGCAGATTTATCCCCAGTTGCCGCTTGGAAGGCCAGCCCTCTAATTTAATTAAAGCCAGAGAGCTTCTCTTTAATACCATCTTATCCAGGTCAGGAGGGAGAGCGGGCTCAGCTGGTGCCGATGGCTCTGCCTCACAATGTCCGAAGGGGCTTGACAACTTTCAGTGGATCGCTGTTCATCAACAATAAAACTAGGGATTGCGGAGCTGCCCAGATCTACCATCCAGGTACAGTACTCAGTAGTACAGTAATCCTGGAGCCCTGGTCAGGGGCTGTGTGCTCTCTGCTCTGCCTGCCCCAGATCCAAGGTGGATTAAGCACAGCTTACAGGGGCTCTGCTTCAGGAATGTGGTTGGGTGTTTGCTGTTGCTTTTGCTGCTGCAAAGGCAAAATGGGCTTTGCTTTATTCTATGAATAGATGCTTTTGTCTCCTACGCTGAGAGAGGCAGAACTCTGAGCAGCACAAGCACCAGCCTTCCTGGCCTGCCCCATGTGTTGTGTGCTCACTCTGAGGGGCCTTACACAATACGGTGCACAGTGAAGGAGATGGGCTCCAAGTGAGGAGGGGAGTGGGATGGGTGTACAGGCAAGGAGTCTCTTTGTATTATCCTTGTCCCGCCAGGTGTGTGGTGGAGAAATTGCAAAGGTTGGGATTGTTTAGGATGAAGAGGCCAGGAATAAGGACAGAGGTGGACATATCAGGAACTTATTTGGGCCAAGTCTCTGGCCTGTGTTATACAAGTCAGACTATGATCACAGTGGTGGCCTTGGAATCTATTAACCCTACTGACCTTTCTCCTAATGCAAGAACAAGGGGCATTTAGTGAAACTGAGGCAGCAAGTACAAAACTGCTAAAAAGGGAATTTGTTTTACACCATCATATGATTAACCTGCAGAGCCCCCTGCCATTTGATATTGCTGATGCCAGGATGTTGGTGGGAATCATAAAAGCATCAGCCACGTATGTGGATAATGTGAAAACCCACATTTACATTAGAGAGGATTAAAAAAATTGGAAGGGATCTAAACCCACAAGCCAACCTTGAAAGGGGTCACAGTGAAACCCCGTCAGGATCACCCACGGGGGAGTTCCTGCGCTTTCTGCATTAGCAGCTGGTGCTAGCGACTGCCAGCAACAGGAGACTGGGCTGCATGGGCCCCTGGGGAGTGGCCATGCTCAGAAACAGTATCTATGTGCTATGCAGAGCAGGCTGCATTCTCGGGTTTGTTCTTCAGTAAAATGCCCATTTTGTGGGGCAGGTTCTCCCCTGTGAGACTGGGATTTGCAGTGTGGTAATGGGAGAGACCTGCTTACCTTGTGCCTTCTCATTCCTGCCTAGGGCATGAGGTGCTGTCCAGCCTGCCTCTCCAGATGATGCTATTCTTCAATGTCTTCTACTTCCCATTCTGGTGCCTGTGCGAGGGGATAATGCTGGCATTAAAGGTACCATATAACCAGGGTGGTTAGAGCTGGGAAGATGAGTGAAGTACCACCCAGGGCCGGCTCCAGGCACCAGCTTAACAATCAGGTGCTTGGGGCAGCCAAGGGAGAGGGGCGGCACCTGCGGCAATTCGGGGACGGCAGGTCCCTCACTCCCTCTAGGAGCGAAGGACCTGCCACTGAACTGCCGCTGCCGCCGATCGCGGCTTTTTTTTTTTTTTTTGGCTTGGGGCGGCAGAAATGCTGGAGCCGGCCGTGGTCCTACCAAATGCCTTCCTTCAGTACCCAAGCAACTGCACGCTTGCCCTTTCTTGCAGTCTGCCAGCCAAGCTGTGCCCAAGTCAGGGTTTATCAAGCAGAAAGGGTTTTTGTCGACAAACGGCCATTTTCCAAAAACTCTCTTCTCAAACTGACCTTCTAGAAAGTTTTTGTTTTTCATTCATTTTTCCATGAGATTTTTATCAAAACTTTTCTTGAACCCGTTTCCAAGCCAGCCATCAAAATCCTTCGTTTCCCAAAACACACGTAAACACCAGATGGGTCCATTTCAAACCCTGAGAAATGGCAACTCCTGTCAAATCGCAAAACTTCTTGTGCGCCTCTTATGTTTCCATTTGGTTTAAATATCCCAGGCCAGGGGAGGTCCAAGAGACGATGTTTCTGCCTGATCCATCCCATGGGCAAGAAGCATCCCTCTGCAGGGTCCTGAGCCATGGGCAGTCAGGCCTAGTGGTGGGAGTGAGAGTTCAGCCTATTGGTTAGAGTTGGGTCCAGGTTGGGCAGAGTCTGGGAAATGAGCCAAGGGTCAGCCCTGGAGAGACAGAAGGAGTCTAGCAGAGAAAGGTCTAATATGGCAGGAAGTTGAAGCTAGACAAATTCAGACTGGAAATAAGGCGCAAATTTTTAACTGCGACAGTAATTAACCCTTGGAACAATTTACCAAGGGCCATGGTGGATTCTCCATCACTGACAATTTTTAAATTAGGATTGGATGTTTTTTAAATGATCTGCTCTAGGAATTATTTTGGAGGTCAGACGGATGATCACAATGGTCCCTTCTGGCCTTGGACTCTGTGAATCCATGAATCTGGGCTTGCAGCAGAGCCAGACTCGGGGCAACCTAACGAGCACAGCTGGCCTGTAGTACACTGCCTGATGGGCTGGAAAGTCAGCAGACCAGCTGTTAAGCCTAGCAGCAGCAGTTGTCATTGTCATCGTCGCTGTTCATTGGCTGCTTGAAGCAATTGCCCATGGCTGCGACAGCCCCTGTCTTGCCTTGCCTCATTCCAGCTAACCCACTTCTGACTCTTGGCTCCAATTTCTGATTTTTGGCTCTGACCCTGGGCTCCGGCACCTGGCCTCTGACTCTGGATTTAACCACTGGTCACGACTGCCCATGTCCCAGTCCCTGACAAGGGGCGCAGCAGTGGCACGGTAGCAGTAAGGGAGGCAGGTGAAATGGATGGAGAGTGAATATATGAAGCGATGGGGTGGGAGGGGTTTGTGTTGGGGCTGGTGCCAGGTGTGGGGCTGGTGGGATGAAATGGCGATGGTCTGTCACTAATGCCCTCCTGTTACAGTACGGCCTGCTGCCCTGTTACTACCAGTTCCTCCTTGTTGCTGCCTTCCTGATTCTCGCATTAGCTGAAGGGTTACGCTTGTATCTTGGATACATTGGAAATCTGCAAGGAAAGGTAAGAACTGATTCAAGGCCTGAGCAGGCTAGTGGCTAGGGCATGGAAGCTACAGCTCCCCATCAAACTCTGCTTCATCACTTCAGCTCTGGAAAGCATGCTGGTCACAGCTCCCTTGCAGGGGGAAGGTCAAATATTTTCATTAATGACTTGAATAATGGAGTGGAGCATATGCTTATAGCACCTGTGGCTAACACCAAGCTGAGATGGGTTGCACTCATTTTGGAGGGCAGGGTTTGAATTCAGAACAACCTTGACAAATTGCAGAATTGGTCTGAAATTAAAAAGATGAAATTCAATATAGACAAGTGCAAAATACTCCCTGAAGAAGGAAAAATTAAATGCATAATTTCAAGAGGGGGAATAACTGGCTAGTTGGTAGTACTGTTGAAAAGGATCTGGGGGTTACAGTAGATCACAAATTGAAAATGAGTTTGCAATGTGATGCAGTTGGTAAAAAGTAGGGCTGTCAAACGATTAAAAAAATTAATCGCGATTCATCGCTCTGATAAACAATAATAGAATACCATTTATTTAAATATTTTTGGATGTTTTCCACATTTTCAAATATATTTATTTCAATTACAACACAGAATACAAAGTGTACAGTGCTCACTTTATATTTATTTTTATTACAAATATTTGCACTGTAAAAAAGAAATATTTTTAGTATTAGTATTTAGTATATTAGTGTTTTTCAATTCACCTAATACAAGTGCTGTAGTGCAATCTTTATCATGGAAGTTGACCTTACCAATGTAGAATTATGTACAAAAAATAACTGCACTCAAAAATAAAACCATGTAAAACTTTAGAGCCTACAAGTCCACTCAGTCCTACTTCTTATTCAGCCAATTGCTCAGACAAACAAGTTTGTTTTCATTTGAAGGAGATAATGCTGCCTGCTTCTTGTTTACAATGTCACCTGAAAGTGAGAACAGGCATTTGCATGGCACTGTTGTAGCCGGAGTCACAAGATATTTAGGTGCCAGATACGGTAAAGATTCATATGTCCCTTCATGCTTTGCCCAGCATTCCAGAGGACATGCTTCCATGCCGATGATGGGTTCTGCTTGTTGACGATCCAAAGCAGTGCAAACCGACGCATGTTCATTTTCATCATCTGAGTCAGATTCCATGCCACCAGCAAAAGGTTGATTTTTCTTTTGGTGGTTCGGGTTCTGTAGTCTCCTCATTGGGCTGGTGCTCTTTTAAGACTTCTGAAAACATGCTCCACACCTCGTCCCTCTCCGATTTTGGAAGGCACTTCAGATTTTTAAACTTGGTTCGAGTGCTGTAGCTCTCTTTAGAAATCTCACATTGGTCCTGTGACAGGGTGCTGGGCAAAGGGTTGCTGATTCAGCCCTCTGTCACGCCAGCTTCCATTTAGGGGGATAGATCCCTCGGGGGGGGAGGGATAGCTCAGTGGTTTGAGCATTGGCCTGCTAAACCCAGGGTTGTGAGTTCAATCCTTGAGGGGGCCACTTAGGGATCTGGGGCAAAATCAGTGCTTGGTCCTGCTAGTGAAGGCAGGGGGCTGGACTCAATGACCCTTCAAGGTCCCTTCCAGTTCTAGGAGATGGGATATCTCCATTAATTTAATTTATTTAATTTAAATTGGATAATCACATTCAGTAAATCATAACCTTTCCAATGATATCTTACAAGGCCCTTCTTGCATAAAATATATCTTAGTTATGCCATATTCATATTATAAGCATATTTCTATAAAGAATATGCAGCGTCACGTCACATTCTGGAATGGTGGCCAAAGCATGAAGAGGCATACGAATGTTTAGCATACCTGACACAGAAATACTTAGCAATTCCAGCTACAACACTGCCACGCAAACACCTGTTCTCATTTTCAGGTGACATTGTAAATAAGCGGGCAGCATTATCGCCCATAAATGTAAACAAACTTGTTTGTCTTAGTGATTGGCTGAACAATAAGTAGGACTGAGTGGACTTGTAGGCTCTAAAGTTTTACATTGTTTTGTTTTTGAGTGCAGTTATGTAACAAAAATCTACATTTGTAAGTTGCACTTTCATGATAGAGATCGTACTACAGTACGTGTATGAGGTAAATTGAAAAATACTATTTCTTTTAGACTAACAGACGTATTGGAGCATAAGCTTTCGTGAGTGAATGCATCTGACGAAGTGGGTATTCACCCATGAAAGCTTATGCTCCAATACATCTGTTAGTCTATAAGGTGCCACAGGACTCTTTGTCGTTTTTTACAGATCCAGACTAACATGGTTACCCCTCTGATACTTGACACTATTTCTTTTGTTTATCATTTTTACGGTGAAAATATTTGTAATATAAAGGAGCACTATACACTTTGTATTCTGTGTTGTAAATTGAAATAAAATATTTGAAAATGTAGAAAACCATCCACAAATATTTAATAAATTTCAATTGGTATTCTATTGTTTAACAGTGCAATTAAAACGGTGATTCATTGCTATTAATTTTTTGAGTTAATCGTGTGAGTTAACTGTGATTAATCGACAGCCTTACTAAAAAGGCTAATATCATTCTGGAGTGTATTAACAGGGATATCATATGTAAAACACAGGAGTAATTGTCCCACTCTACTCAGCCCTGGTGAGGCCTCGGCAGGCGTACTGTGAACCACACTTTAGGAAATGTGTGGACAAATTGGGGAGTCCAGAGGAGAGAAACAAAAATGATCAATGCGATCTTGGGATGCATTAGGCGAGGTATTTCTAGTAGGGACAAGGAGGTGCTGCTTCCGTTATACAAGGCACTGGTGAGACCTCATTTGGAGTACTGTGTGCAGTTCTGGTCTCCTATGTTTAAAAAGGATGAACTCAAACTGGAACAGGTACAGAGAAGGGCCACTAGGATGATCCGAGGAATGGAAAACCTTTCATATGAAAGGAGACTCGAGGAGCTCGGTTTGTTTAGCCTAACCAAAAGAAGGCTGAGGAGAGATATGATTGCTCTATTTAAATATATCAGAGGGATAAATACCAGGGAGGGAGAGGAATTATTTCAGCTCAGTACTAATGTGGACACGAGAACAAATGGATATAAACTGGCCGTGGGGAAGTTTAGGCTTGAAATTAGACGAAGGTTTCTAACCATCAGAGGGGTGAAATTTTGGAACAGCCTTCCGAGGGAAACGGTGGGGGCAAAAGACCTCTCTGGCTTCAAGATTAGACTAGATAAGTTTATGGAGGGAATGGTTTGATGGGATAACGTGATTTTAGTCAATTAGGCAATAACGTGCCATCGCTGGTAAAATGAGGGTCCGGCTGGAGAATCTTGCCTGTATGCTCGGGGTTCTACTGATCGCCATATTTGGGGTCGGGAAGGAATTTTCCTCCAGGGTAGATTGGCAGAGGCCCTGGAGGTTTTTCACCTTCCTCCGCAGCATGGGGCAGGGGTCGCAAGCTGGAGGATTCTCTGCGACTTGAAGTCTTTAAATCACGATCTGGAGACTTCAACAGCTGAGTTAAGGGAAAGTGGGTGGGTCAGCTTTTGTGGCCTGCATCATGCGGGAGGTCAGACTAGATGACCATAATGGTCCCTTCTGACCTTAAAGTCTATGAGTCTATGATCAAAGGTTTAGAAAACCTGCCCTCTGAGGAAAGGTTAAAAAAAGTGGGCATGTTTAATCTAAAGAAAAGAAGCCTGAGGGGGGATCTGATCATAGTCCTCTTTAAAATTTCCCTTAACATATTTGAAGACTGTTATCAATTATTAGCCATGTCCACTGAAGGTAGGACAAGAAGCAATGGGTTTAATTTGCAGCGAGGGGGATTTAGGTTAGATATTAGGAAACACTTTCTAGCGATAAGGATAGTTAAGCTCTGGAGCAGGTTTCCAAGGGAGGGTGTGGAATTCCCACCATTGGAGGATTTTAAGAACAAGTCGGACAAACACCTGTCAGGGATGATCTAGGTTTACTTGGTCCTGCCTCAGGGCAGGGGGCTGGACTTGATGACTTCTGCAGGTCCCTTCCAGCCCAACATTTCTGTGACTATATGAAAAGAAGATAAAAGTACATGAAATACTTTCCCAATTTATCAAAGTACTAAATCATTTGCCCCTGCCCCCATCCCAATGTTCTCTTGCCATGAAAGTGATCATTGGAGTTGCCATAGGGAAGTTATGTGATTGCAGATGGAGGGAAGGAGTGGCCAGGTGCCAACTAGTAGCAGGGACATGCCTGTGAGAAGAAATATGTTAAGAGGTGGTCCTCACTATGAATGATATTGAGACCTGAAGCCCAAGAATAATTCATGGAAATTAACTGGCCAATATTTTGGATTAATTGAATAATAAGCCTGGCACCAATTCCAACTCCTTTGTATCACTGTAAAGAAAACAGCTCTGTCTTCAGAAGACAGCCTGGGATCCCCGTGGACAAGGGGGAGTCCCAGTTGCTATAAAGCAGGCATAGTGGCCTTTACATCACCTCCTTTCCCCCTTGGGTGTAGGTGTTCCAAGGGTAGGATGGAGTGGAGCTATAGCATGATCACTAGCTGGAGAAGCAGTCACGGGTGGGGGAGCTGTTGTGGCTGGTGCAACTCACAGCAGCCCTTAGGCTGCCCTAAATTATGCCAGGAATTTAGCGCTCCTCCCCCTACCCCCCGGGGCGGAAAAGTGGTTTAGAGTCACCTTCCTACATACCCTGGGTCCTCTGCTGAGCTCAGTCTAGTCTAGGTTAAGGCACTTATCTGGCTCTCCTCATCATAGTATCCGAGTGTGACAGAATATACCCGTTTCCACACCCTACACACCACTGTAATAATCTCTGCACAAAATATGCCTTGTGAGGTATCATTTGAAAAATCATAATTTGCTGATCATTATTGTCCTGGTAAAATATGTGGCAACCTTGTATGTGAAGTTTATCAGATTCCACTGTATGGTGTTATTAACACATGTTCCAAGCAGAGGTTGGCAAACAGGTCTGTCTCAAACAAAGGAATGTGTGCTCTGCTTAATTTGCATTTAAGCAATAAACACATCAAGTGGGGCAGACAAAGAGGGGGAGACAAAGGAAGTTCAACCAGGTGGGGGAAAAAACAGCAGGGTTTCCTTCTACATAAATCTCAGCTGTAAATGTTTTCAAGAGGGGGACTGAAACTATAAAAAGAAGAGACAAACATCCCAAGGATCCCCGCCTCTTCCTGCCCATTGCATTCACAGCACCTGAAGTGACAAAGAAAGCATTAATTGGATTCTGGGAGAAGGGGTCCTGACCTAAGAAATGTGGTCAGCAAGACTGCTGAAAGCATGTGACGAGAAAACTTTGCTTTGAATTTAACAGAGTTTGTTAGGCACCAGTTGCATTTTATCTTTATTTTTCTTGTAACCATTTCTGACTTTTATGCCTCATTACTTGTACTCACTTAAAATCTCTCTCTTTGTGAGTAATAAGCTTGTTTTATCTAATCCAGTGAGTTTAAATTGAAGTGCCTGGGAAACCCCATTTGGGGTGGCAAGTAGTGTGCATGTTATTTCTATTAAAGAAATAACGGACTTGTAGTGTCCAGGAGAGGGCTTGGCAGTACAGGACAGACATATCTGGGGGGGAAATCTAGGGCTGGGGGGTGTTGGGGTCACTCTGCAGTAAGAACCAAGGTGTGGCTGGCTATCTGAAGCACACACACAGACACAGCTGGGTGTGACTTGCATGCTAGAGGCTGTTTGTGACCAGTCCAGGCTAGAGGCTACAGCAGCAAGGCATTGTAAAGGGCACCCCAGGTAGGAGGGCAGGGGTGACGAAGCTACTCATTGGTCTGGATTGTACCCTGGGTATGTCTCACTGAGCGCCTCTCAGTCTTGAATGTATTCATCTGCACAACCCCCTGTGGGGTAGGAAGCACTATCATCCTCATTTTACAGCTTGGGAACGGAGACAGATGGCTTGTCTGGACAGCATGTGGCAAGCGAGGGTGTAACTTACCTCACATTAGCCTGCCATGCATTCACTGATGGTGTGGACCTGCTGCCGTGCACTAACAGTTCCCTAGTGATCTTTGATCTACTTGTATTTCAAAGCCCACTATGAAACTTTTAGTGCACAGCAGCAGGGTCCACGTGGACACTTAGTGCTCAGCAAACCCGAGTGTATATCTGTCTTGCACTATTTGTCCACACAAGCCCTAAGTGACTTGCCCAAGGTCACACAGGAAGTCAGTGGCAGAGAAGAGAATTAAACCCAGGTCTTCCGAGTGGCAGGCTAATATCCTACTCACTGAGCCACACTTCCCTATCTCAGCAAGACCTGTTAGTGGACAACTTGAGTCAAATACATTATGCACCCAGCTGTACTCCGCTTTGGGGCAGGAGTCCTGCAAGATCTGTGGCTGGGCCCCACTGGAGGCTAAGCAGACAAGCAAAGGGAGAGTGAAATGCTGAAGCATCCTTTATGGCGATGCTCAGGGGGGAATGACCAAGTTCTAGAGCATAGAATTCCCAGTCCTGGGCTCCAAGTCCTACACAGTGTTCTGTCTCTCGCTTCACACATTCTCTTGAGGTCACAGCCCCCAAGCCTCGGCTGCGTGCTGCTCTTTGTAGCATTTGCTGTGGTGTTTTCAGTCTTTCCTCTCAGCTTCCTTTGCTTCTGCAGGTACCTGAACTGGCTGGATTCCTGCTCCTATCCTTCCTGATCCAGCTCCCGCTCCTGCTTTTCCTTCTCATGGATGAGCACATCATTCGGCTGCCCCTGGAGACAGCTGTGCATAGCATTTACCTGGTGTTTCTTGCCTCTGAGATCACAGCTGCCTTCTTTGCACTTAAAGTGATGACAAGGCAGCTTGCTACACAGTTCTACCTGAAACAATTTGAGGATGCAGGCAGACCGCGGCAATCCGGGCATAGCGTGAGCCAGGGCAGGGCAGCCCATCCAGGCAGAAGCGGCCAGCAGGACAGAGAAGGGAGTTGATACTATGTGAACATGGTCCCTATGCAGGAAGCCGCAATGCCAGAACATCCTCCTGCATTAAGTGCCCATTGTCTGGAAGTATTTTTTCTGGGAATGCTTTAACATAAATGTCTGAGAGATACAGCTGGCCGAGATGAACATCCTTCCAGTTGTGGGAGCTTCAGGGCTAACAGGGTTAATTCAAGGGTCTTTCAGATGACTGAGCCAAAGTTGGAGAATGTTGGTGCTGAAGTTGGGGCACATAAATTAAACTGGCTTTGACTGACCGAAGGGTTTAGCACCCCACCTCTGACTCCAGGGGGCTCAGCACCAAAGAAAGGCTGCCAGAGTCATTTAGATGCCTAATTCCAGGTATGCAGCCTGGAAAATGCCAGCCCTAGTCTATTGTGAAGCGTTTGCGTGGCAGACTGTGCGGCGGAGCTGCCACATGAGGGGTTTACACCCTCTAGCTGCCCTGGAGAGGAACTCCCCATGCTGCCTCAGAGCCAGCCAGCGCAGAGGGGGTGACACCCCCCTACCCCAAGCCCCTAAATGAGCCCAGTTGCTTGAGCTTGGAGCAGAGTGAGCTGAACTTCCCCCTTAGATGGAGAGGAAGGTTTTTTGCTAGGCAGGTGCTGCTTTGTGTGCAGGGAGTTAAAAGCATTTTAGGATACTGGGAAATACATTTGTGCCAAATGACTTGAGATTTTCCTAAAACACAACAAAGGGTCAGTAGTTTCCTGCCTGAATGCAGTTCCTGGTGGGAGGCGACAGCAATGGGTTGCAATGGTGGGTGTGTCTCCTCAAGCCAGCGCATTCTGTGGGGCCTGGTCTGAAACACCAGTTCACATTCCCCCCTTCAGTTAAATAGTGGCTCACAGGTGCTCTTAAAATTAGACTCAGCTAGTAGGTGCATTTACACTTGAGCTTAAACTTAGTCAACTGAAGTCAGTGGGAGCTTTACGTGAGTGAGGACTGGGGGATCAGACCCTTGTAGATGGTCTTGTTACATGGGTAAGTTTTTAATATGTGGGGGTCTTAGAAACAAGAGCAGCAGTTGCCTGTTAAAGAAAGACGAAACTGTCCTCTTCCTAGGGGAGTGAACGCAAAACTCCCACTGACGCATCAGGGCAGGCTGGGCCACAGCACACGTGATTACGACCAGCTGGCAATGCATTGGCCATTCTAAAATCTCAGGGATGGGTCTTTAGCTATTGTACTGAATTCACTGGCGCTCCATGACTCACCCAAGTTGAGGACCTGGCCCTCAGACTTCAACCCAGTTATGCTATCAGTGTGGCGGGTGCTTTGAATCATTGTGGTGTGAAGTTCCAGCGCTATCTACACAAATCGCTTCCTCCTGCTCCTGGCAAAATTAAGGTTGTGACTAAGGCCTGGTCTACACTTTAAACGTTTTACCAGCATAGCTACATTGGTTAGGAGCGTGAGTTTTTGCTGACATAGCTATGCTGGTAAAAGTTCAAGTTTGGATGTGGTTATTAGAGGTACTAGTATAGCTTATATTTAGGGCGTCAATTAATCGCAGTTAACTCACGTGATTAACTCAAAAAACTTAATCACAATTTAAAAAATGAATCGCATGTATAACACTAGAATACCACTTGAAATTTATTAAATATTTTGGATGTTTTTCTACATTTTCAATATTGATTTCAATTACAACACAGAATACAAAGTGCACAGTGCTCACTTTATATTATTTTTTATTACAAATATATGCACTGTAAAAATGATAAACAAAAGAAATAGTATTTTTTCAGTTCACCTCATACAAGTACTGAAGTTCAATCTCTTTATCGTGAAAGTGTAATTTACAAATGCAGATTTTTTTTTTGGTTACATAACTGCATTGAAAAATAAAACAATGTAAAACTTTAGAGTCTACAAGTCCACTCAGTCCTACTTCTTATTTTGCCAATCGCTAAGACAAACAAGTTTGTTTACATTGACGGAAGATACTGCTGTCTGCTTCTTATTTACGTCACCTGAAAGTGAAAACAGGCGTTTGCATGGTACTTTTGTAGCCGGCGTTGCAAGGTATTTACATGCCAGATATGCTAAACATTCATACGCCCCTTCATGCTTTGGCCACCATTCCAGAGGACATGCTTCCATGCTGATGATGCTAGTTAAAAAAATAATGCGTCAATTAAATTTGTGACTGTACTTCTTGGGGGGAGAATTGTATGTCTCCTGCTCTGTTTTACCCGCATTCTGAATATATTTCATGTTATAGCAGTCTCAGATGATGACCCAGCACATGTTCATTTTCCCCATGCTAATTTTTTCCCCTACTGTTACTCACACCTTCTTGTCAACTGTTGGAAATGGGCCATCCTGATTATCACTACAAAAGTTTTTTTTCTCCTGCTGAAAATAGCCCACCTTAATTGATTACTCTCATTATAGTTAGTATGGCAACACCCATTTTTTCATGTCCTCTGTGTATATATATCTTCCTACTGTATTTTCCACTGCATGCATCCTATGAAGTGGGTTTTAGCCCATGAAAGCTTATGCTCAAATAAATTTGTTAGTCCTAAGGTGCCACAAGTACTCCTGTTCTTTTTGCTAGTATGAAAAAAGAAGCTGTCGGGATATTGTAGAACAAAGGGTCTACAGTGTTCCAGCAGACAGTCACTTACTAAATCACCTGCAGGGATTGTCAGTGCAACCTGCACTCCAGAAGCCCTATTTACTGGGGAAAACGCCATCATTCCAAATCACTTGACTGCCAGGAGGCCAGTTGGCCAATCACTTTTCCTTTTTTCCCCATTTTTCTGGCAGCTCCCAATTAGTATCAGAACAAATGGAAAGTAGAAGTGGTTGGAAAAGAAAAACCATTTCATAAAAACATTTTTTTGTTTCCCCAGCCTCAATGGACCACTATTTCCATTATTTAAAAGTTTTCACAATTTTTTCTGAAAATGTTCCCCTAGAGCGGATCCTTGCAAATATTCATGCAGCACAAAGGGTGTTAAAACCACCTATATCTGTGTGGCAGGGAAGTGACTACAGCAGTCACAACCAGCACCTACATCCCCCAGCAGCCCTGGTGTAGGGGATGGGGAAGGTGCTGTGCAGCTGAAACTGAAGGCTTGTCTACACCTACAGCGATGCAGCGTTTAGTGAAGATGCTACCTATGCAGTTAATCCACCTCCCCAAGAGGTGGTAGCATGTCGACAGGAGAAGCCCTCCCCTTGACACAACACTCTCTGCACCAGGGGTATGTTGGTATAACTACATGGCTCAGGGGTGTGGATTTTCCGTACCCCCGAGTGACATAGTTATATCGCCAAGAGTTGGTGCCCTATACCAAGTAAGAGAGCACAGCCGTGCACCAGGTCTGAGGGTAGCAGATAAGGGATACAGAGGTCACAGCAGGGGTTGGGCCAGGGCCTAGCCAGGCAGGGAGGCGTGGCCAGGGTGGAGCTGGGACACTGGGGGCACAGCAGGGCTGGAGGTGGGGCACTGGGGGCACAGCAGGGCTGGGAGGTGCAGTGGGGGGCAGGGCACAATACTGGGGCCACAGAAGGGGTGGGGTTGGGATACTGGGGGCACAGCAGGGTTTGGGGGGCACTGGGGGCACAGCAGGATTGAGGGGCAGGACCGGGGCACTGGGGGCACAGCAGGGCTGGGGGCGGGGCACAGGGAGGCA